TAAATTATAAGCATTGGTCTTATACGGTTAAATGCTGGCTGGTCTCTTATTTTAGTAATTCGCAGGAATCTTAAAGCCAAATCAGGTGGTTTTCTGAGGGGGGTCACACTCGGAGCCTTCGACATAAAGGTACCTTGATGTATGCTACTTATATTGGCATAAGTAGTATATGATGTTAGTCGCGAACAGAATGTCTGGAAGCAGAGAGACAAATGGATCGAACAGTAAAGAATGGCAACAGAATTCGATTTGTATGAAAGTGCAAGAACAATGAAGTTTGAGTCATTATGAGACAACTGAGGGACATTCTGAAAATTAAGCATTTACTTTATGATTATTAAATTTTATTAACAAGTCCTGTAATTTTGTGTCAGATACATTCGATTGTTCCCACTGGTGTTCTTGTTCACTACAGTATGATCCATAAGGTATTAGAGCAGCATTAGGATATGTAGTCCCACGGTAGATGGTGACCAACAATTGGTTCACACCTTCTCTTCCTCCAGGAGACTGGAGCCCATATGCACTATTCGTTTGGAGTCAGCGTTTTCTAACTCTCCTAGGTAAACTCTCCCTGACCACCAACCTGATTAAATCGATGGACATACTTTGTTCGTCCTTTCAACTTAGTAAACAACAATGATACCTCGAGAATGCAGTGAGTAAGACTTATCTGGAAATGGATATAGATGCGTGGCCATGTGAGAGCATTTGGAGAGGGAGATCGGACTCTTCCCACCCTTTGTCATACCAGGGCATTATGGTTTAGTTATACTGAATTCTTTTTGCTTCAAAATATTTGTTGTTACTGTTATTCAGTAGACAACTTATATAACTGCTTTTTTTGATGAATCATAGTCAATTGATTGTTCCAACTGATACATTAAGGTTCTCTGATTACAGTGGATAGAAATAGAGATCTAGGTAGTTTCAGTATACTAAATACGTAGACGCTTTATCGGTGAAGACGAATTATGATTACGAAACAATCATTGGACGAAATTTTCACATACCCTAACATTACATTTCATCTAATTGAATATAAGCTACTCAAAAAACATTATAGTAACATATTATGTTTAAGGCAAATTAAATCTCATCCTATCAAAGTTTAAATCGGATAGTATTTTGGAAATTCCAAAGATACTCTCACTCACCAGATATGTGGTTATAAACCATAATCTTAACATGAGAGCCGATGCTAAATAATTACCCAAATCAAAGCAGCTTAAGCGGGGGTCGAGCCTCGAACTAGAAGCAGAGTGTCTTTACAATTAAGTCACTGTTCCTGTTTGAGTTCGTCGCTAACACCGATAAGCACTATTCAGAAAAATTACAATCGACTAGTCCTCACTTTTTTGGTTTTACGAAAAATTTATTTAGAAAGAATAGTAAATCATTATGAGTAGACGACATTCATCAGATATGTTAAGTAGACAGTAATCTATACATTTGATAACATAAATTTAAATCACATCTAGCGATTAAGCGCTCGTGCGCGAAACTGGAGGCTCTTGGTTCGAGTCCAACGGGTGGGATTATGACTTCGTATTTGGACCACCTCATATTGTGGAAAATATACTGCTTATGTTAGACATGAACACCGTTGGATACCAGCTCAGCGATCTAAAGGTTAAGTATTCGCGCGCGAGAGTGATAGGTCCTGAGTTCGAAGCTTGAGAGGCATGATCGTAATTGCACACTACTGAGAAGCCCCATACTAAGATGAGACGGCCGTCCAGTGCTTCCAGGTTTTCCATAGTGGTCTAGCTTTAATGGACTCATGAATTTAATTACTAACTTTTTTTGTTGCCAAATTTATATTCAGTAAATATCATTTTTACTTTGATTGACTATACCACACAACGAATTTTGAATAAACAACTATAATGATGATCACAGTCAGTCAGCTACAACATTGGACCAGGCATATATATATATATATATATATATATATATATATATATATATATATATATATATATATATATATATATATATATATATATATATATACATTGGTCCAAGTTATCACACCTTATTAGCGCAACAGGATGAACACTAAATTCATACTAGTTACTTCAATGGTAGTGTAGTAAACGAAAGTACAAGTTGGGACAATTGAATGTATTTGATTGTACAAGTTACAGTACATCTTAGTACCATACAAATAAATAGGTCATATGCAAAATGTCAACCTATCGTCTTAGATTTCATTGTTCTTTTTTGCTTCCATAGCGACTATTCACTTTTTTTTTATAGATCTTCTTAACCTTGTGCTGCCAGACAATTCACTCTCGATTGATGATACATACTACTTATATCTGTCGATATCAGTAGCACACACACCACAGTAGTAATATATAATAGAAAGATATAATATAACAACAACTATGATTTCTAATTCTCTTTATAGACTACTGATTTTAAATGGAGATAATAATAATTACTTGATATCTTAGTTAGTAGATGAATGCCAACATAACACTGAAACTTGATGACAATCATAATGATATTTAGTCCATTCCTGTATGCGAGGAATAGAGTCTAGGACTTATATTATCACCGGAGAATGTTCAACTTCTATACCATTGAACTGGTATTTAACAGTGTTAATGTTTAACCTTAATCAATGCACATTGCGCAACCATCATTTATTGTCTTTGATGAGTAATTGCCATACACCCAACACAGATTAGCTTAACTGGTTGCGGCCTCTCACCAGAATTTTCTTCATTAATAATTTTCAGGATGAGCTTGTGGAGTTTCATTGAAATTATGAGTCGTTTCAGGTTTTCAATGTTGGTCTAACTTCTCATATTGAAGTTAATCGTAATAAAATCGAAGCAAATAAGATTCCACGGAAAACAGACCTCTACAGATTCCTTACATACTGCATAACCCTACAATAAATACCAAATGGATAATTTATGTTCAGTATAATCATTAGTTGATTGTAATGACCCAATCCAGCTGCATTGGTTGGAATACTTCTTTTCAGATCCTATCATGGTGGGTAGGTTTGTTGAGAAGCGGTGAGACTAATATAAGTAACTGAAGATCTCAAGTTCCTCTAGCTATACTGTAACATGATGGTAGTAAGGTGTTTCTCGCCTTCCCGCAGTGCGGGGATTAGAAGGGGTCGGCACTAGAAATAACACAAATCAACTTGCTCAATGAATCCCGGTCGTTGATGGTATGGCCTAATGATAACATATCAAAAACTCATAGAACGGGAATGTATGACTGATCTTAAGCTTTGGAGTCACGCTAACACTAACAGCGTTCAAACCCACTTTGTTTACGATTAAATGATTTGTTAAATCCCTAGTATTTATTTCATCTCTTCTACTAAGAATTCTCCTCCCTGGCTTCATCTAACGATGAATGTAAAAATCATCTTGTACTTTTTTATTCAGCTTTTCCTAGATCACATTGTTTAGTCTGCTTTGTTTACCATCACAGATGATACTACAATTAATATTCATTACACTGTACTAATCCACGTACGTTTGCATCAAATTCTACATTGTATGGAACAATGTAAAACATGGTGTTGCCACATGAAGTAGGAACACCATGTTAGTAATGCAGAGGTTCGGCATAGTGTGTTCGGGCACAGAGACGATAATGCAATTGGTGCCACCATCTTGGAACACCGACTTCAGTAGCTTGGATATGTTCTACGATTGTCGTCCCAGAGAATTCCACGTCGTGCATTATTTGTCGACGCTGGGACTGGTTGGAAGAAGCGGAGAGGTGGTCAGTGTATGACATGGTGTCGTGGCATGAAAAAAAGCTGCAAAGGACTGGCTTCTGTTGGTCATTGACGACTTTCTGTTTGGGGTTCGAGAGATAGCGCAACACAGTAGCTAGAGAGGTTATCAGATATAGCTCAGAATAGAAGTCAGTGGCGATCCCGCCGTAACCTTCTTTTATTTTCTTCATAAAAAGTGGTTGCTTCTTCCTTAACTGACAGATTTCTTCTCATTGTACTTTCTCGTTTCCCCCATTATTATTACATTACCTTACACTAATCTGTACGTTGTTTTTTACGCCCCTTACTTTTTCTCTCCTTCTTCTCCTCCTCAAATTCTCATTGTTTTGTGTGGCGCATATATACTTGGTGCCCTCTTGTACCAATATTTATGTGTTCAAATAAATAAATTCTAAATTAGTGATAACTGATCTTGTTGTATCCGAGGAACAAACTATGAGGACTATTTAGAGACTGTTACTATGTATATTTATATTCCTTTTATTTGACCTATTGACTACTATTATATGATTTATTTCAAATTATTAGTTACAGTCTCTCACACTCATAACCACTTTTGGCCTGATCTTTATTTTATGGTGTAATTCAGTCTGATCTGCTTGTATATAAACTACAATTCATACAATGGAGGCTGAAATTGTGTTCTGAAATAAACACGCTAGGTTGCTTGTACTAGTTAATGATTATTGCTTTGGCACACGGCCAAAGTCGTATAAGTTGGTGTCCGCCTTGACAGACAAGTCGGTTGAAGAGCAGTAAGACTAAAAGCAGCAAACCCAAGGTTCGAAGGCTAAGTCGTACTGCTGACTGTACAAAGGTGTGTAAGGTGTTTCCCTCAGACAACCAGCGTAACAGCGATGCTGCCTTCTTACAAACAGTGGTGAGGTTAGAATAAGTCAACCGTAAAAGTGCATATCTCGCCCTATCCCACAGATATCCGTTTCCGACTGTAAGGTCTCAACAAATACAGACCTAAAACGAAAATTACTTACAAAAAGGTCGTGTGTGACCGACCTCAAGCAGTTGTCCCTTAGGCACTGCGGTCACGCTCTCAGGTCACTAAGATCACCTTTAATCCAATTTCCCTCTCAGGTACTTACAGAAGAACTCTCCCACGGTGTGGGCAACCGGGAAATGAAAACCGTCCTTATACCTCTAACAGCACTCAAGACGATTGTATTCATAATCAACCTCCTTGCTTCTTTGTCAAAAAAGACAAATATGACTTTGTTAATACAGTTAAACCAGGATATTATTTATAAACAAAGATATTGATGTAGATAGATTTGGATTGTGCATCTCACATAAAAATATTAATAAACACATTAATTGAAAGTTAAAGAATCATAGTAACACTGAAATGTACAAATCGGTTAATATTCACAGAGGTTAACGAAAGACCTTCTGAAGAGAGAAAAGGAAAACAAAAGAAATGTAGAAACAGTAAATATTATTTTAGAATATATACATAGTATAGAAGAATTATAATAACAAATCAAATTGACTGAATGATACTATGACTTGTGCCCTTATTAACATATAACGTAATGATACCGCCAATTAGAGAACACTGGACACGGAGGATCCACCTAGGGGAGTTTGAAAACCCTCATTCCAAACCAATAGTGCACATAGGATCTAGGATCCTGAAGGAACAAATGGCGTATGAACCTATTTTTGGCCACCGGCTACTATGAGACTTCATCTCCTGACGTTGCTCCACTACTTTGTGGATTAGACCTTTAGGTTGAAGGCTCAGGGAATGGCCCCCTAAGAAAACCACCTGCTTCGATCTCAGCACCCGGGTATTATCACAGCCCACACACAAATCGAGTGATTTACATGGCGCATATGTATCTGGTGCCTTCTTGTACTTATGTTTATATGTTTAAATAGTAATAATAATATTAATGTAAAGAGAAAATGGACATTATTCATTTAGATTGAATAAACTACATATAAACATAGACGAGATCTTGTTACTGGCCTTTCTTTTTGATAATTACCATACAAATTGAAGAGACGACAAGACTATAATTTATGGATGAACCAATCACGTATAAGATAACAGGTCTCGGATTTTGGCGCAAAATTCACTCATCCATCTGGCCAAGTAAGGTTTTGGAATTATAGTTGATGTCAGTTCATGATGAAAACCCTTAATCTAATTTCTAACCCTAATCATCAACTGTAAATCATAATTCTAATTCCTCACCCACTGGTTTATAACCATCCTTTGGTTCTGGTTATTAAGTGACCATTCTCAATGTCACTTCAACGTCGCTCAAAGGTCGTCCATAAATCATAATCTCACCGAAGAGACTTTTTGAAATGAACTGATATCAGTATAGAAATTACTGAAAACCGGGAATAGCTAGGAGTCACCTTTCAATGGTTTATTACATCAATATCCTCATGTGAACTTGGATGATAGATCTTAAGATTTCAAAGTATTGAACATCATAATATTCAAATCATAAAGTTGAATTCCATTCATAAGTTTATATTTTTAACAACTTAATTAGCTAAATAGAGTTAATATTACATAAATAACTTAGTTACAATTACCTTTTACAGGAAATGAACATGATCAAACAGAAAAAAAATATATTAGAATTCATCATGACTATATGTTGAACCGGTTGATTTATTTATAGATTCTACTGGATCAATATATACACCTTCTGTAGCTGTCCAAGTAATGGCATTAGTTAATTTTGGAGTTGAAGAAACTTCATATTGTCCAGATATAGGTCTACTATATCGTTTACCTGATAGATGAAGGTATCTAGAGGGGAGAAAAGAAGAAATGAAATGTTCAAAGCATACACACACATATTTTCGTTTAACTTAGTGTTACTTAGTAAAAAAACTAAGTAGGCTGTTGGAGATACTAGATCCCTAAAAATCGTTTTTGAGAAATTTCCTATTTTTCTAATTTTATTTTGAAAAATTTGAATTTCTCATTTTTATTGCAAAGCGTAAAGATTAGTATGGGGTTGTGGAGATTAATAACAGGTGCTCACTAGTCACTAGCTTCGTGAAGGAATTCTCAAAGTTCTAGGAAGAAGTCGTGAACAGTGGAGCTAATCCATGTCGGATAGAGACATGTATCTATCTACCTCAGTACAATGGGACATGGTCGCACAATTTCGTGGATTGGTTGATGTTACACATTAACACCGTTGGGTGTCGACTTAGTAGTGTAGAAGTTAGGCGTTCGCGTGCAAGAATGGAGGCCCTGGGTTTGAATCCCGCGGGTGGGATTGTGGATGCGCACTGTTGAGGAGTCCCACAATAGGACGAAACGACCGTCCAGTGTTTCCAGGTTTTCCATGTTGGTCTAACATTAATCGGTTCATGATCTCAATCAAAAAAAGTTGTGTGTCTGTTTATTCGTACTTCTGCCTGTTTTTAGAATATACTTTAGCTCGACTGAATCTTGTCTTCTCTCTCTAGTTAGCAGGGCTTGGACATATTGGAATAATTTAGCTTGTCTTGTCGTTGTGCTGATGATTCTCCGTTTCATTCACCGATTTTATGTGATCTCGTCATCACTTTAAACACAGTAGTCATAAACGCCACTCAATGAACTGTACACAAATTTATTGAAAATAACCGTTACTGTACGAAAGATTATAATGAATTTGTTTTAAGCCAATTGTAAAATGTTGAATGATTTCTTTTACTATAAAGATTGCGAGATGTGTCAACTGAGGATACGATGCTATAAACAAGACGTCTTGATGGTTGATAATATTGTTGGGGAGAACCAAAAAGTTCCTCGAAAAAAAGCACCAAGGGGTCCTGGGAACGCTGGAAAACATTTTATCCGATCAGCATTGAATAGAAGCTTTTCAAAAACAGTTTATAGTGAGTTATAGCCGGTAAGAGTAGAGGATATTCGTAGACTACTAGCATACGATCATAAGTGTCTTCGAAGCATTGCTTGTATATCTTGGGACCATTGAGTAAGTAATGCAGTTGTTAGGAAACGGGTACTAGGTAGGAATGGCAAATCAATTGATGACGTAGTGAAACTTCATCAGTTGAGATGGCTGGGACGTGTTACGTATGCCCAACGACCGACTGCCTCGACGTGCGATGTTCAGTGGTATAGGAGTAGGTTGGAAGAAAGCTAGGGGTGGCCAGACCAAAACATGGCACAAGTTCATGAAGTCACTGACAAGTGGACTGAGTCATGTTGGTAGGTGTAGACTACCTGGTTGGAGACCGCGAGATGATAGCAACCGATGGTTAGAGACCCTGAATGACATGGGTCAAAATCGATTGCAATGGCGCAGGTACATCCACTCTTTGTGTTCTCCCAAATTCTAACCTTCTGAATTTCTCATGTCCCTTATTTTTTCTCCTTTCAAATTTATCTCACTGGATTATACTCTTGAAGTAACATCTCCAAACACTAATCTTTTCAATTACTGCTTATACTCTTACTATCTCTACCACTATGGGATTTGAATCGACCACTGCATCTCTGTGCTAATGCGGTATGGCAACTCGAAATGATGTACATACGTACGAAGTTCTACGTTGTTATTGACTGGGTGAGATTCAATATGTAAAATAACATTAGTTAACGATAACATTAATAAGGAAATATAATTATTATAACAGCAAAATAATTGATGAACAATTATAAGAACTACTTAAACGAACCCGTCCGTAGAAATATGCTTTAAACGAATGTTTGACGATTGTTTCCAATAGGCACCATCGCAAATAACTTGCCAATCATCGCCTTCATACAACAACAAAAAAATCAGAATATAACTGATACATATTTCCATTTTGGTAATTACAAAAAAAAACAAAACGCAATAGAAACGAATAAAAACGATTACTCCAACACTTAATTTGATTGACTGGAGCATAAGTTGTGACATTCAAATGGATAGACTCAAATTGTTAAATTTCAGTACATTAAAGTGATGGGAACTTAGAAGAAATGATATACATATTTTTGTATAACTCAACTGTTTAGACAGAAGCAAGGTTTAAACTTACGAATTGATAGTTAAAAATTAACGTTATCTAATCATTTAAGGACTATTTTATTATTACCTACGATTGGGATATTTTTTAGTTGATGTGAATGATTATCAACATAAAGTGCAAGGAATATTTGAGGTTAACACTATGTGCAAATGACAGTAAACATTTTGTTGAATGTCTCCAAGATATTTCGAGTTGTTAAGGATATTGTAGATTAGTCTTGTGGTTTGATCTGATAATGGTACATATATGATTAATATATGCTAATATTTTTAGTAATGAGATATCAGTCAGTAACAACGTAGAACTTCGTACGTACGTACATCAGTTCGAGTTGCCACACCACATTAGCACAGAGATGCAGTGGTCGATTCAAATCCCATAGTGCTAGATGTAGTAAAATTATAAGCTGTAATCAGAAAAATTAGGGTTTGAAGATGTTATTCAAGGAGTATAATACAGTGAGATAAATTTGAAAGGAGAAAAAATAAGGGACATGAGGAATTCAGAAGGTTAGAATTTGGGAGAACACAAAGAGTAGATGTACCTGCGCCATTGCAAACGATTTTGAGCCATTTCATTCAAGGTCTCTAACCATCGGTTGCTATCGTTTCTCAGATCCTAATCAGGTAGTCTACACCTATCAACATGACTGAGTCCATTTGTCAGTGACTTCATGGATTTGTGTGATGCTTTGGTCTGGCCGCCTCTAGCTTTCTTCCAACATCGCACATTGGGGCAGTCGGTGGTTGTGCATATGTAACACATGTCCCTAGCCATTTCAACTGATGAAGTTTCACTGCTTCACAAATTGATTTGCCATTCTTACCTAGTACCCGTTTCCTAATAACTGTATTATTTACTCGGTTGTCCCAGGATATACGAGCAATGCTTCGAAGATACTTATGATCGAATACTAGTAACCTACGAATATCCATAAATGACGCAAGTTGGTAAAAGCTAGTCGAGCCTTCTGTATCCGTGCTGAGATTTCGTCACACACCAGGCCACAAGGGCTGATGAGACTTCCAAGATAAGTGACTCGATCGACACGCTCAATTACTTCACTCCCTATCATTAGTTCGGGTGTCAATACAACCCAATCCTGAAGCAACATTTTGCATCTCGAGGAGAAGAACCGCATCCCGAACATGCTTGCATTGTTGCTTAGAGTGGTCAGAAGACTCTGCATTTCGTCAGCGTCTTCACCAAATAAAACTGTGTCATCAGCATATTCTAAGTCAACAAGTGAACCTCCCGGTAGAAGTTCAACCCTCGGAAATTTAGATGAGGAAAGTGTCATCTCTAAAAGCACGTCAATGACAAAGTTGAACAAGAATGGAGAGAGTGGACAGCCATGACGAACACCACTTGATGTAATCAATTCTGATGACAGTTCGCCATAAGCTCTCACTCGACCAGTTGTGTTCGAGTAGAGAGCCTGTATAAGGTTAATGTACTTCTTTGGTACTCCTTTCAGTGACAAACACTGCCATAGAACCTTACGATCAACAGAGTCGAATGCCGCCTTAAGGTCGAGAAATACTACCATTGTGGGGTGTCTGAATGTGTGTCTGTGTTCTAGAACCTGACGTAGTGTGAATATCTGATCTATACAACCACGTCCAGGTCGAAAAACAGCCTGGTTTTCTCTAGTCTGCTCTTCACAAGCTTTAGTTAGGCACCGAAGTATTATTGAAGCTAATATTTTAGACATTATATTAGTCAAACTGATTCCCCTGTGATTGTCACAAGAGGACCTTTTTCCTTCCTTATAGACTGGCACAATCAGTGATTGAGACCAGTTAGATGGGATTACGTCCAGTTCCCAAATTCTACCTAAGACCTCAGTTAATCTCACTGCTAATACTGAACCACCATCCTTAAAAGTCTCAGGAGTAAACCTGTCAGGGCCTGCTGCTCTCCCTCGCTTCAGATTTCCTATGGCTTTCTCAACTTTGTAAAGAGACGGAGGACCTACATTAACTTGCCATTCAGGTTGACTGGAGATCGTGGGAAACCGAAGTGTGGCTGAAGGCCAGTTGAACTGATCCCTAAAGTGTTCTGCCCATCGATCCAACCTCCTGGATTGAGAATATATATGTCCATCTTTCTCTGAGAGTGTTTCGCTAACAGTCAGTTTCCTTAACAAGTCTAAACAATTGTCTGCTATTACCTATTGCCGCTGCCTTTTCCATCTCTCTTGCTTTCGCTACCCACCACTGTTCGCGATCATTGCGTACACTTCTTGTCAGCTTGCGCTTAAGCTGACTCCGCTCTTCACTATGTTCAGAGCCAGGTGGAATGAGTTGCCGAGCATCTATCAGTGTGATAGATGCTGCTGAGATCCAGTGTTACTCCCTAACCTTACGAGTTACCGTACTAGCAGAAATCACTGCTGTTTCCACAGCTTTTCAGATATCATTCCATGCTGCCTCGGGGTGGGCATCACATACATAGCTGCCTAACTGTTTTCCTAGTTGTTCCTGAAATATACTCTTAGCTTGACTATCATTAAGTAGGGCCCTAAGAGGTTTCCTTGCAGTGTCTTTCCTATGTCTAGTAAGACGCAAGCAAATACGTGCTCGCACTAGAGCATGATCTGAATCTAAGCATGTGCTCCAGAATGAGCGACAGTCTTCTATCGAGCCCCTCCTTCGGTGGCTGATAGCGATGTGATCTACTTGGGTCCAACGTTGGGACGAATTAGGGGGTTGCCATGTTAAAAGATGTTTTTCCTTATGCTTAAAGTTAGTATTTGCAAGAAAGAGGCAGTTATCTGAGCATAGCTGCAACAGACAATCGCCATTATCTGTTCTTTGAGCCACGACATTATAAGATCCACCCAGGTGTCTTTCCCCATCGCTTAGTTAACCTACTTGAGCATTAAAGTCACCGGCCACTATTACTACATCCGAGCGCTTAGCTTTTTGGAGAAGGTCCGAAAGCTTTCTGTAAAACTCATCTTTTACATCATCTGTGCCGCAGTCAGTGGGAGAATAGGCAGAGACGACGAAGAGGGAACGACGAGTGTCCCTATTTTCTCGGATCCTTACTGTACAGTTTAGTCGAACAGCGCACAAACGACTGTCTACTGGGATCCACTCTAAGAGAGCTAATTCTGCCCTAGAACTCAATGCTATACCTACGCAGGCGAGGCCACGGGAAGCAGAATTAGGGCTTCCAGATACACGAAGTGTGAATCGAGTCGGTTGTTTGTTTTGACATGGTGAGGTCAAATGAATGACGCTACTCAGATCCTGTATGCGCGTTTTGGAGACGCAGCACACATCGATGGTGCGGGATTCTAAAGTCCTAGCTAAGGAAGCCTGTTGTCCTATTTGGAACAGTGTTCGTACGTTAAAAGCTCCTACACGTAGTTTAGAGAGTGGTCTCAGGAGACCAGGAATAGCGTTCCGCGTACTCGAATCGTTTGCCCTAGCGGTGCGAGGTGATAAAGAGACGTGAGGAGGGTTAGTCATGGAGATAAGAGAGGTATTAGGAGTCAGCTACAACGTAGGACCAGGCACATGTGTGCATCGATCCAGGTTGCCATACCGCATCAGCACAAAAAGATGAACACCGGATTCATAACAGTGGTTAGGTAAAAGGTGGTAATATATAAGAGAAAGATTGCATATAAGGAAACAGTACCGGAATATAGAATTAGTTCGTAGAAAGAAAGATATGAAGCGATTTTAATCTCACAGTTTAAGGGAAGACAGGGAGTGTATACACCGACGCCATTGTGATCGATTCTGAGCCATGTCACCAAGAGTCTCCAACCATTGGTTACGATAGTCACGCGGACCCCAACCAAGTAGTCTGCATCTACCAACATGGCTCAGACCAGAAGTTATTGACTTCAGGCACTGATGCCACGTTTTGGTTTGGCCGCCCCTAACTTTCTTCCAACCATTTCCAATACCGGATAGCATTGCACGTCGTGGTAATCGGTGTTCAGGCATACGTAACACGTGGCCCAACCATCTCAGTCGATGAAGATTCATAACCTCATCAACTGATTTACCATCCTTTCCTAATACCCTGCGTCTAACCTCACTATTACTTGCCCGGTTATCCCAGCAGACGCCAGCAATATTTCTAAGGCATCTGTGGTCGAATACTAATAGCTTACGAGTGTCTTCTACTCTTAATGGTCATGTTTCGCTGCCGTAAATTAAAACAGAACGGACTGTCGCGCAGTATACTCGTCCTTTTATTGATAGACGGATATATCGCCTTCGCCACAGGTGACGTAAGTTGGCAAAAGCCAAACGAGCTTTTCGAATCCGTGCTGAGATTTCGTCCGATACCAACCCATTAGGGCTGATCAGACTTCCAAGATAAGTGAGGTTGTCAACGCGTTCGACTACTTCACTCCCTATCCTTAGTTCAGGTGTTAACGCAGACCAGTCCTGAAGCAACAACTTGCATTTAGAGGGAGAGAAGCGCATTCCAAACATCCTGGCATTGTTGCTCAGTGCTACCAGAAGACTCTGCATTTTGTCAGCGTCTTCACCAAACAGGACTATGTCATCTGCGTATTCTAAGTCGATAAGTGGACCTCCTGGATGGAGATCAATACCCGAGAACTCAGTCGACGAGAAAGTTATTTCTATCAGTAGATCTATGATGAAGTTAAACAAAAATGGGGAAAGTAGACATCCTTGATGGACACCACTTGAGGTTGCGAAAGTAGATGACAGTTCGCCATAAGCTCTCACTCGACTAGTAGTGTTCGAGTAAAGAGCCTTTACAAGGTTTATGTACTTCTGGGGTACGCCTTTCAATGACAGACATTGCCATAGAATCTCGCGGTCTACCGAGTCAAATGCTGCTTTTAAGTCAAGAAAGACCACCATCGTCGGACGCCGATAAGTATGCCTGTGTTCTAGAACCTGACGAATGGTGAATATGTGGTCGATGCAGCCACGACCCGGTTTGAAGCCAGCTTGATTTTCTCGTGTTTGCAGTTCACGAGTCTTAGTTAGGCGTCTGATTATTATTGAGGCTAGTATTTTAGATATTATATTAGTTAAACTAATCCCTCTGTGGTTGTCACAGGATGATTTTGACCCTTTCTTATATATTGGGACGATAAGTGATTGTGACCAGTCAGATGGAATAACGTCTAACTCCCAGATCTTAGCTAAAATATTAGTCAATCTAATCGCTAAAATTGGACCACCATCCTTAAAGACTTCTGGAGCCAGTCCATCTGGACCAGATGCCCTTCCTCGTTTCAGATTATCTATAGCCTTTTGAACTTCAGCAAGAGTTGGGGGACCTACTTCAATGTTCCATTCACGCTGTCTGGGAATGGAGGGTAGTTGTAGAGTAGCTGAAGGCCAGCTGAACTGTTCTTTGAAATGTTCCGCCCATCGTTCTAAACGTCTGGACTGGGAGCAGATGAGTGAATCGTCTTTTTCCGATATAATCTCACTTACACTTGACTTATTAATTCCAGTTTCTTTTATTAGTCTGTAAAGCTGTCTTGTGTTCCCTACAGTCGCTGCCTTTCCCATCTCTTTTGCTTTCGTTGCCCACCACTGCTCACGGTCGTTTCTTAGACTTTTTCTTAACCTAGATCTGATTTGTTGTCGCTCTTCATCATGTTCGGAACCTGATGGGACGAGTTTGCGAGAATCCATCAGTGTGATAGACTTTGAAGAAATCCACTGGTTCTTTGAAACTCTGTGGTTTAAGTTGCTAATAGATGTCACTACTGCTTCTACAACTGCTTGTATGTCTTTCTAAGCAACATCTGGGTAAGCCTCGTCTTCAGAACTACCTAAGTGTGAACTCAGTTGTTCTTGGAACCTATTTTTGGTTTTCTCGTATTAGGAGGTGTAGGAAGGATTTGAATGTGACCAACTTGGTCTCGTGCGCTGTTACGGGTATGAAGGCTGATACCACTTCCCGGCTGCCCACACCGTGGAAGGGTATTTCTTAAGGAACTTGAAAAGGAAATTGGATTAGTGGTCTTAACGACCTGGGAGCGTGACCGCAGAGCCCAAGGGACAACTGCTCTAGGCCGGTCGCGCACGGCTTTTTCGTGGAAGGTTTTTAATTTGTTAGCTCTGTTCTTCAAAAGGCCTTACCGCCGGAGACGGAAATCTGTGAGGTAAGGTGAGGTGTGACATTTTTAGAGTCGACCTTTTCTAACCCCACGCCTACTTGTGGGAAGGCAGCATCGCTGCAGATGCTGGTTGTCTGAGGGAAACACCTTATTGCTGTCACACCCCTCTACAGTCAACAGTACGACTTCGTCCTCAGACCTTGAGTTGCTGCTTTTAGTCTTACCGTTCTCCAATCGACCTGCCTGGCATGGTGGAACCCACAGGAACATACGTTCCAGCCAATACAGCTCGGCTGGGTCATCACAATAGGCAAGCCCGACCACCGCGTCAAGGTAGCAGCTTTGGTCAGGAGTAATGAGATACACATTTGAATACTTCTAGTTGCACCATATTTCACTGTTTTTGCCGAGATAACATGGTGAATGTGACTTGTAGTTAATTACAATTTTTGGACGACAGTGTGGGAATATATAACGAATGTTTTGTTTATCCTACATAAAAGCAAGTACTTAAAAAATGGTAACATGCAGTCTGATTCTATGGTATAAAATAGAGGAGTAGGTGACGTCGGCTATAATCGACAAGTATAAAATGAAATGCAGGCGAGAATACGATAAAGATGTCTTAAAGTCATATTGTAGCGAACAGAACACGAGTGGGGACAATCGAATGCATTTGACACAAAATTACAGGACTTGTTAATAAAATCTAACAATCATAAAGTAAATGCTTAATTTGTAAAGTGTCCACCGATTGTCTCAAAATAACTCAGACTTTATTGTTCTTGCATTTTCATACAAACTGTATCTTGTTTCCATTCTTTACTGTTCGATCCTCTTGTCTCTCTGCTTCCAAACCTTCTATTTACGACTAGTATCATATACTAATGTCAATATAAGTAGCACACACCACAATATTACTTCTGGTGCAAACTATGTACCTATCTGTACAACCCGATTTTTAAGAGCATTTAATCCATATACCAGTTTTTTACATGGTTATGTTGTGTCTGAAGGTAGATAACATAAGCAATTTGCATTCGTTTAACTATTTGTTCGCAAGTGGTAGAGCTATTTAATTAGAGAAATTATTTGGAGTACATCACAGTGAGATTTTTTAAGAAAGCATAGTAAATGACATGATTTTTGTAAGTATGGTGTTTTAGAGATAAACTCACCTTCATCGCCTACTCCATTCTCACCGAATGCAGAGACTTCATAATTAGGCGAAAGAGGAGACTGAAAATGGTGACTGTGAAGATATTTTCGAGTTGATAGATGCATGAGTCTGATTTTCTGTCCACATTTTATAACTCTACCTCGATTACACTGAGGGCTACCATTACGTTCAACAACCTAGACATGAATTGAAAACGATTTACCGTTGAAACATTCAAATCGTTGTAATAGTAGTACAAACACTTGTGAATTACTTAAATGATAAAATTATTGAGTTATTCTTCTCACACTCAAACATTTGAGGGTAACTAGGAAGATTCGTCTAGTTGATGCTAAGACCTACAGGTAAAGAAGTAGTACTTGTTTTGACAATCCGCTGATGAGTCCCAAATAAGGTGAAACAAGCGTCCTAGGTTCCACTGATAGCTATCATCTCTGCTTATAATGTTAAAAACAATCGCCTAAAAATGTTTCTAAACGGAACTTGACTATTTCGGACCCTTCGTTCACAAAAGACCCAGTGTTCCTGAGTAGTGTAGAATTCGGCATGTAATTTACGGAACGATTTGAGCATACTGATGTGAACTAATCCTGTCATGCTAAGTACTTAATATTTGCCTACATGTATTATGTAATTAGATTTCAAGTAGAGTTCAACACAATTACTAAGAATAAAGTCGGTTATTAGTCTACGCGCACAAGTATCGAATTAGTGTGCCGAAAGTTGTACGCATTCCGAAAAATAAAAAACAGCATAATGTATGACGATTCGACACCATGTTTAAAGAACTATTAAGAATGGATCGAAGTTTTAAAGAGATTATAAAGCTTTGAACGACCTGTCGCACATACATATGGATGAATAAGAAAGCCGATTAGTAAAAAATAAAATGTGATAAATTGATCTCAGCAGATTAAAATAAAAGCGCAATTCCGGCTTCATTTTTAGAAGATATTGGTTAAAATCATTACTACCGCATTGATGTTAAGTAGATTTTGACTTCGCGAAACACTTCAACCAATCGATAGAGCAGTAAATTACATTATAAAAACTACTGTTTAGTATTTTTATGGTAAATAGTCTTCCGCACTACTATAGGATCCATTTCTTGATCGTGAATGGCTCATTCCAAGAATATAGAAACAGCACAAAACTACAAGGAACAAGTGATCATATAGCATTTGATTTTTACGGTAACTTGTTTTCGTTAACGTAATCTGGCACGATAACCCTTCATACTCTTCACCCAGGTGCTTTGCATTAGAAAGCTATAAACTATTGGGCAGAATCGATCAGCAACTCAAAGTATGGATAGGAACAAGTGTACTACGAGTAACCAAACTGTATAGTGTGCTGCAAACTCAGAGGTTTATATAAAAAATGTCCTGGCACGGTCGAGAGTCAGCTCTCCTCCTCCAAATACTCACACAGCCACGAGCGTACAACAATTGTCAGGGAAGTTCTGCTCACTGCATTCTCGTGGCATTACTGTTGTTTACCAAATTGAGAGAACGAAAAGCGAATGTCCATGGCTTGGTGAATACGGATGATTCATTTAGGGGAGGTGGAAAACCGATTTCAAACCAATGGTGCACATGGGATCTAGTCACTTGAGTGCACAAGTGGTGTACAAACCAATTATTGGTGACCGGCTACTATGTGACTACATCTCCTGACCTTCCTTCACTACCTTGTGGATCAGACCTTTGTGTCGAAGGCTCCGGGTGTGATCCCCTAATAAAAACACCTGCTTCGGTTTAGGCATTCGGTGAGCATCTCAAGACTCACACAAACCGAATGATTTATATGGCACATATGTTTTGGTGCCTTGTACTAATGTTTACGTGTCTAAATAAATAAATAATTGTAACATGGGGGTCATATGTGATGCCAATAAGATGACTGATGCAAAAAAGTGGCTAGTGAAGATGAACAAACCTGCCAGTAGCTGTTAGTATCCATTTCGTCAGATACAGCGGTAACAGACTGCTGCCCACTCCCACTACCATACTGAACCTCGTGTGAGTGAAGTCGTACATTGAAATCAGTATTCACTAGTTTGAGCACTGAGCCGCAAGTTACAGTGCTTTGCTGTGAAATCGATTCTGAACATTTTATTATGTGTGGAAGAATAGGGCTTACCTTTTGTGAATACAATAAACAAGGCAAGCACGAAGACTGGAAACATGACCTAGAAAGATTTCAAACTAGCCTGTTTGTCGTGGAATGTTCAAAACAACACTCAAAGGTTTACAGCTTAATTTCATCTTTGAGAATAAGAGAAATGAGTTATTTTCACCCCCGTAAAAGTCCATTGTCTTCGTGAAGAGCTAGTAAAAACCGCACCAGTATTTTGGCGTTTGCTTCTCAGGTTTAGTAGCCCATGTTCCCAACTATGTATTTCTATCTATCTGACTACAGTATTTGTAGTTCCAGATGATCCAAATTTCAGGCTTCCTTATCGTTATGTGCGTCTGTTTTTTTATCTCTTCCATATAAATGTGTTCGTTTAGACTTTTATGGATGACTTGAGTGAAGTAACAGATAATAGTTTTTCAAAGAGTTTGTCACAGTTTATTACTGGTATTATAAACGGTGTGGTTGTAACTTCTTTACTAAGCCTTGCAAACGTTATTCACAAAAATAACGGACTAAAGTTTATGGGGGGTCTCAGTCGCTAGAAGTTGGAGAGGTGTTGTTTTACTGTGAAGATGCCACAGATATTTGGAGTTTGACAACGCTTTAACCAGTAACACCTTTTTAAATCTTACCCACCAAGTGAAATCAAAGGACAGAAACGATGAGGTTCGAAGATATATTTGGTAAGTTATCAATATATCGAGAATCGACTCATCTAATCTGGGTAGCGATTGCAGGGGATGTTGAGCACGGCGTTCCCACACGTGATCTGGTGCGGATGCATGACCGGGCGCCTTCAGCTAGGTGAGTCCATCAAAACTAATGTGGTCAGCATCCAACGCTGAAGACTTATAGAGCTATTTATTTTGGGGATTTATTTACCGCTACAGATCACTCCCTCCCCAGTGAGGTAGTGATGACTCTAAGACGTGGCAAGCCAGAAGTTCGAACCCAACGAATCTGTCGTTGGCTAATGCTCTTCTGATAGATTGCTATGCTTAGCAGCGTCTGGTCGTCTTTTCTTACTATAAGGTACCATGTAGTACAATAAAGTAATAGGAAAATTTATTTCTTCGAAAAACCTTCCACTGCCTTTTCCTGTTAAGACTCTTAAAGATTTATTATTATTATGTACAGATAATGTAAAATTCACATTTGAAGGCGGACACTTCAGACAAATAGATGGTGTAGCTATGGGCAGCTCTCTAGGACCATTGCTGGCTGATGTGTTCATGGGATATGTAGAAAATTTAGTTGGAGTCTCAATTCAAAAGATATATATGTATAAACGATATGTAGATGTCATCATAATCATAGGTGATAAAATTGAAGACACAAGCTGTTTGTTAGAAGAATTCAATAGTAGTCGAAAGCACATTTCTCTTACATGTGAAGAAGAGAAGAACAACCAACTTCCTTTTCTTGACATCCTGATTACTAGGAGAGATGATGGCTCCATCAAACGTGCTACATATAGAAAACCAACATGGACAGGACAATATCTCAATTTTCATAGTCACTGCCCTATTCATTATAAACGCGGTTTAATAAAGAGCTTATTCAATAGAATCAATCGTATATGTACTAGTGATACTATTGAAGTAGAGATGAAGCTCTTGACTGATGCGTTAATTAATAATGGTTACCCTTTGAAGTTCATAAACCGCTGGAAGCGTTGCAATATGCCTAGACCTATGACACTTCTGGCACCCAAAAAGCGAGTTTATATTACGCTACCATTCAGAGGTGACACAAAGAGTCTCATGTTGAAACAGAGACTTAAATTAGCTATCAACCGGACATTTTATGCAGCCCAACTTGTTATTATCGAAAAGACAAGGTCTATGTTTCACCAAAAGCCCAAACAGCATGAAAACGATTGTGTCACATCCCATTGTGTCTATAAATTTACATGTATGTGTGGAAACACGTACGTAGGGAGGAACAATCGTGATTTGCAATTAAGGGTAGGTGAACATATACCAAAATGGTTGCAGAATCAGATGAATTCCAATGGTGAAATAAGATCACAGGATAGACAGACATCATCATCCATTGCGAAACATTTGATTGAGACGGGTCATAAGGTTGATATCAAATCAGTATTTGCTGTCTTGTACAAAAGCCTTCAAGGACGTATACTAAGGTTTATTGAAGCCCTGGCTATACGGAAATCGAAACCCCCTTTATGTGTTCAAAAACAATTTGTACTTACACTTAACCTACCCTGGTAGTACCGATTTACTATCCAGAGTAGTAATCACATTTGTTTTTGTGTACTTTAATATTTTTCCTTTGTTATGACTTACCCTTAACCTGTCTAGTTGACCTTTTAATTTTTCATATTTAAATGTTCTTAACAAGTGTATATGTGTGATCAGATTGTTCGAAATGTATTGCGCAAATATATCACATAATTCTGATAAACTACGTCTTCTCATTGCATTATCGAGATAAATATATAAGCATATCAAGATTGGTTTTTTAATACTATGTATAGTACATAGAAAAATCAAAATGATATAAAATATCACTTAGTATCTTACGTGTAGTAATCGTTCAAATGTTCTGGAAATCTTACTCTCCCAGAATGAGTCGTTTTAAGTTTTTTTCAGATACTGCGAGGTATCACCATGCGTGTTGGCTAACGAATGAGGTACCATGAGTGTAGGAGCCGTGTCGTTTGATTGTACCGAAGGAAAATCGACGTGGACAGGATTGCCTTATAAACACGCTGCTTTGAGGCGATCGATGCTCATGCTATTGTTTGTTCCGTTCTTATCGACCATATGGTACTTGAGTTCACGTTGAAGAAATATGAATGGTCTTTCGTATGCTCATTCGAGAGGTCGTCGATGTGAGTCTCGACGAATGAAGACTTGTGTACTATATCGTAAGTCATGTTGAACGTACATATCTGTTGATTGCGATGAAGTGGAAAAAGGTTTAACTGAACACATTGCGTTTGTAAGCCTGCTCGTGTATGCAATTAGATCCATGCTCATTGAAGATAAAGGATCCACGACATCTCCTGAAAGTTGTATTGTCGTTCCATAAACGAGTATCCAATATCAGCCTTCACTGCATTGTGAATACTTAAAAAGACGAGCGGAAGAGCGTCGGTCCAATGTGAAACGTTTGCAGCTGATAGTGAAGCTTTTAGCTGTCCGTGAAAGCGTTCTACCAACCCGTTTGTTTGTGGGTGGTAGGTGGTCGTTAGGAAGCTAGTGATTCCTAATAGTACGGCCAGATAACGGAAAAGTTCAGATTCGGCCTAGCGTTTGCGATCTGTAGTGATGGTTGAAGGGTACCCGAAGTTTGCTACCCATCGTTCGACGAGAGCGTGGGCCACTATCTCAACAGTAATGTCTTTGATGAGTACTGCTTCTGACCATCGAGTGAAACGGTCTATGCAAGTTAAGAGATAAGAGTATCCATTTGAATCTGGTAAAAGTCCTACCAAATTCAGATGAACATGGTCGAAATGAGCATCAAGAGTTTTGTTCCTATCTGTTTAATGCGCAGTTTAAGTGTTGTTGGCGACAACTCGTGATGAAGATCAGTGTCTTCTTTTTGAAGTTGTGCTGGGAAAATGTCCAAGGAAGTTCTGCGAGACAAGGCGTCTGCGACTGCATTGTTTGCTTTATAAACGTGTTGAATATCTGAAGTAAACTGCGAACATTAGTCCAGTTGTCAAGGCTCTCGAGGGGAGTATTTGTCTGAAAATGGATTTGAAGAGAAGGTATGAAGTTTATGATCAATGAAAAGAGTGAAATCTCGGTCTTCATTGGAGTGTTGAAAATGCCGTACAGCACAATACATAGCAAGGAGTTCCCTACCGTAAGTGCCGTACCTCGACTCAGTGTCTAGCAACCGTCTCCAGAAAAATGCCAAAGGTTTCCAGGACTTGTTAACCCATTGTTGTAAGACTCCCCCGATTGCTGAGTCAGATGCGTCTACTGCGATACTAGTGTGTGCTTGGGTGTTCTGATGTGCGAACATGATTGCCTTTGCGATAAGTCCCTTAACTTTGGAGGGTGCTTGACGCGCAGTATTGTCCAGACTAATGGATTTCGCATTTCCACGAAATTAGTCAGTTAAATGTTTCATAAGTGACTCGCATTTCGGTATGAAACGTCTATAGAAACTTACTAGGCCGTCAAATGTGCGTAATTGCCTAATGATGGTAGGTTTTTGTAATCCAGTATGGCCACCACTTTGCTTCTTAGAGGTCGGATATCTTACGCATCAGTAGTGTGTCCTAGGAAATATAAAAAGTCGGTTCTGATTTGGTATTTCTAAACGTTTATGCTAATGCCACGCTTTTGCAGTCGTTTAAAAAAGGTCCAGATACTGGAGATGAGATTCTCTGTCTGGAATTTCCATCAAGCAGTCATCAACATACGCATGTACGAAGTTGAGACCTCGAAATCGTCATCTATGAACCTTTGGAAAGTTCGGGCAGCATTTCTTAGACCGAAAGATATTCGCAAAATTTCGTAGAGTCGAAAGGGAATGATGATAGAGGTTTTTAGAATATCATCAGTAGCCATAAGGATTTGGTTATATGCTTTAACCAAGTCGATTTTCTAAAAGTCAGTTGTACCTTTCAAGGTAGCTCTCAAGTGAGGCAACTGGTAACGATGAGGAATGATTTTTGCATTAAATTGCCGATAGTCACCATTTGGACGCCGATCGTTCTGTAGTCGTGATGTGGTGTCTAACATTGCTGGTTACACACGTCAGTTTTTGTTGCGGTTGGTATATCTCAGAATACTTACCTAGTAATGGTTGATAGAATGGATCTATCGTGTGTCTTAGTGTGACAAGAGATAATCTGCAACCGGAAAAAGAAGTTACGCAAATAGATAAATTAGTGCTTCCCTCTTCTAGCTTCCGTTTCCGCGTATCGATGAGTAGATTTTGGTATTGTAGGAGGTCTATACCATTGATTGGAATAGAGACATCTGCTACAACAATGATCCAGTGAATGGGTTTGCGTAAACTCACGTTAAGGTAAACGTTAAGAAGCTGGTCTAACCTTCGTCGATCGGTTAGATCACAGCGTTTAAGGACAAATCGTT